AAAATGAGATTGATGAACCTGTAGCCAGGCTCACCAGGAAACAAAGACAGAGGACCCAGATAAACAAAATCAGAAATAAAAGGGGTAAAGTAACAACCAACACCATATAAATAAAAAGGATTGTAAAAAAAAATACTATGAACAACTCTATTCCAACAAACTGGACAACCTAGACTAAATGAACATATTCTTAGAAAAATACAAGCTCTCAAAACTCAATCAGGAAGAATCAAAAAAACTGAATAGGCTAATAACTACCATTGAAACGGAAGCAGTGATAAAAAAAAAAATCCAGAAACAAAAGCTCTGGGCTGGACAGTACACAGGGGAGTTTTACCAAACATTATAAAAAGAGCTAACACATATCTTTCTCATACTATACCAAAAAATTCAAGAGGAAGGAACACTTCCATGCTCTATGAAGCCAGCATTACCCTAATCCCAAAACCAGATAAAGACACTAAAAAGAAAGAAAATTACAGGCCAATATCCCTCATGAACATAGATACCAAAATCTTCAACAAAATTCTAGCAAATTGGATCCAGCATTACATTAGAAATATCATGTACCAAGTGGGATTTATTTTGGGGATGCAAGGCTGGTACAATATCTGTAAATCAATAAATGTGATACATCACAAACAAATTGAAAGAGAAAAAGCACATGATCATATAAATTGATACAGAAAAGGCATCTGACAAAATCCAATACCCATTTTTGATTAAAAAGAAAAAAACATTCTCAGCAAAGTGGAATAGAGGGATAATACTTTAACATAAGAAAAGCCTTATAAGACAAACCTACAGCCAACATAAAACTCAATGGAAAAAATCATTTTCCTTAAGAACAAGAACAAGACAGGGATGCCCACTTTCACAACTCCTCTTTGACATAGTATTAGAAGTGCTAGCCATAGTGAGCATAAAATAAGTAGAAACTAAAGCTATCCAAATTAGTAAAACTGTCATTATTAGCAGATGACATGACATTATACATAGAGAACCCTAGACTCCAGATGACATGACATTATACATAGAAAACCCTAAAGACTCTATTCATTTAATCAATGAATTTGGGAATTTAGCAGGATACAAAATTAACACCAAGAAATCTATGTCATTTTTATACAACAATACTGAACTCACAGAAGAGAAACTAAAGAAACAATCCAATTTACCATTTCACTAAAAAATTAAGATACCTAGGAATAAACCTAACTATTGAGGTAAAATACCTGTATTAAAACAAACAAACAAACAAACAAACAAACAAACAAAAAAACTACAGGACTTTAAAAAAGAGAGATAGAGGAAAATATATATAATTGGAAGAATAGACTGTGTTCAAGGATTGGTAGTATTAACATCATTAAAATGTCCATACTACCCAAGGCAATCTATAGATTCAATGAATTCCCAGTTAAAATACCAAGGCCTATTTTACAGACCTAGAACAAACTCTGAAAAAATTTATATGGAATTAAAAAGACTCTGGGTAGTCACAGCAATTCTGAGAAAGAAGAAGAGATGAAGCGATCAAGCTATATTATAAAGCCACTGGTCTCAAAACTGCATGGTACTGGCACGAGAACAGACATATAGACCAGTGGAACAGAACGGAGAACTCATAAATATACCCAAGCCATTTTATTCAATTAATATTTGACAAAGGAGGCAAGAGCATACAACGGACTCAAGACAGTCTCTTTAATAAATGGTGTTGGGAAAACTGAACAGACACCTGAAAAAAAATGAAACTAGACCACCAACTTACACTATACACAAGAATAAACTCAAAATGCCCTAACCAGTTTGGCTTAGTGGATAGAGTGTTGGCCTGTGGACTGAAAGGTCCCAGGTTTGATTCCGGTCAAGGGCATGTGCACTGGTTGCAGGTACATCCCCAGTGGGGGCTGGTTAAGGAGGCAGCTGATTGATGTTTCTCTCTAATCCATGTTTCTAACTCTCTATCCATATCCCTTCTAGTATAATGTTAAGAGTTTCACTTCTCAAAAATATATATATGTGATATATACTGAGACTCTGTAATTATGTAATTATGCATCTAAAAACAGTGTCAAAATATACACTGAGTGGACAGATTATTATGATCTCTGGCCACTCAATGTGTGTGTGTGTGTGTGTGTGTGTGTGTGTGTGTGTGTGTATACACACTAGAGGCCCAGTGCACAAAATTTGTGCATGGGGGTGGGGGAGAGGGGTTGTCTCTCAGCCAAGCCTGCACCCTCTCCAAGCTGGTATCCCTCTCACAATCCAGGACTGCTGGCTCCCAACTGCTCACCTGCCTGCCTTCCTGACTGCCCCTAACCGCTTCTGCCTGACAGCCTGATTGATGTCTAACTGCTCCCCTGTCAGCCCATTTGCCCCCAACTTCCCTCCTCTGCCAGCCTGGTCACCCCTAACTGCCCTCCCCTGCAGGCCTGGTCCCTCTCAACTGCCCTCCCTTGCTGGCCATCTTGTGTCCACATAGGGGCAGTATCTTTGACCACATGGGGGCAGCCATATTGTGTGTTGGAGTGATAGTCAATTTACATATTACTCTATTATTAATAGATAGAATAGAGGCCTGGTGCACTGATGGGGGCCTGCTTGTTTGTTCTGAAGGGTGTCCCAGATCAAGGTGGGTGTTCACTTGGGGTATGGGGTGGCCTGAGCAAGGGGCCTGTGGTGGGTTGCAGGCCAGCCACACACCCCAGTGACCCAAGCAGAGACCCTGGTATCTGGGATTTATTTACCTTCTAAAACTGAAACTTTGTAGCCTTGATTGTAGGCTTAGGTGGGCAAGGGCAGGGGGAAAGCTTGGCTTCTTCTGTTGCTGGGGAAATGCCTCCCTCCTGCTCTTTGTGGCTATAGCCATCTTGGTTGGGTTTATTTGCATACTCGCTCTGATCAGCTTGTGGGCATGGCTTGTGGAGTGGAGTGATGGTTAATTTGCATATTACTCTTTTATTATATATATATATATTTTAGAGGCCCAGTGCATGAATGAATTTGTGCATGGGTGGGGTCAGGCCAGCCTGGCCAGGGGGAAGGCACATGGGCAGTTGGCCAGCTTGCCTGCTGGTCAAACTCCTGGTTAAGGGGACAATTTGCATATTAGGCTTTTATTTTATAGGATATACACTGAGTGGCCAGATCATTATGCATTCAGAGGTCATAATAATCTGGCTACTCAGTGTATAAAGTAAGTTTTGACAGATTATGAAGATAAGTGCACAAATAGAACACCTTAGTGATAGGATTTCAGAAATCCTCCTACCAACTAATAGATGTAGCAGGCAAAAGAAAACGATAAATCAGTACAATATATGACATTTGAGATAAACAACTAACACACTTGATGTAATACATCCAATAATTTCAGAATATAAAAGCTTTTCAAACACATATGGAGCATTAATGAAAATTAATACCACACTGGGCCTTCTTGAAACTCTACAAATTTAAAAAGATTAATATCATTAAATAAATTTATTCTAATAAAATGTTGCTTTTATCTGCCATATTAAGGTTGTTCAATTGTTCAGCTGTTTGGTCTATTTGCATATTAGGATTATATATAGAGAGATGGCTATATTTTTATTTCTAAAAGTCATAGTTTTCATTTTAAAATCTGCTTAGTCATTTTCTATATTTACTTGCTTCTTATTCATATATTCAAACATTTCTTTTTGTTTTTATAACATGTTATAATTATTTATATTAAATTTTAATGATTTAAATATTTCATTGTGTGCCCATTATCCAAAGTCAAATCTTCTCCTGTCACCATATATTAGGACCCCCCTTCATCCTCCACCCCCTTCTCTCTGACAACCACCACTCTGCTATTTTTGTCCATGAGTTTCAGTTTTATATCCCACATATGAGTGAAATCATAAGGCTCTTAGATTTTTCTGACTGACATTTCACTTATAATGTTCTCGAGGTCCATCTATATTGTTGCAAATGGCACTATTTTATCCTTTCTTGTGGCTGAGTAGTATTCCATTGTATATATGTACCACATCTTTATCCAGTCCTCTATCACAGGGCACTTTGGTTGTTTCTATGTCTTGGCCACAATGAATAATGCTGCAAGGAACATAGGGATGCATATATCTTTTCGAATACATGCCTTTTAGTTTTTCAGGTATATACCCAGGAGAGGGATTGCTGGGTCAGTCCTATGGTAGCTCTATTCTTAATTTTTTGAGAAATCACAAGACTGCTGTCCATGGTGGTTGTGCCAGTCTACATTCCCACCAGCTATGAATGAGGGTTCCCTTTTCTCCAAAACCTTTCCAACACTTGGTATTACTTGGCTTTATAACAGCCACTCTAACAGGTGTGAGGTGGTATCTCATTGTAGTTTTGATTTGCATTTCCCCAATTGCTAGTGAGATTGAACATTTTTTCATATATATATATATATATATATATATATATATATATATATATATATATATATATATATATATATCTTCTTGGGACAGAATGCTTCATTCTGTTTTGCCAGTGATTCTCAGGGAACTTTAAAGGACAATCAGCACCTTGGGCCCACCCCCAGAGATCATGAATTAATTGGTCTGAATGTGGCCGGTATTTCTAACAGTTGGAGAACCACTAGATAATGTGATGCAGTCTCGAGAGATCTACATGCAGTTGAGCCAATCATGCCCTGTATTTTTTTAAGCAATCACCTTTCACAGTCTAAAGAAATCTGGCATCTTGTCTTAGATTATCCAGATAATTTTCTCAATTTATCACTCCTCTTAGCTATAACACCATGAGAACTATTACTTATATCTAAAAACTGTTACACTACCATTTCCATGAAAAAGTACTGTACAGCTTTATAATCATTATTATTTTATTTTTTCTCTTGGGCCTCTGACCATTTAAGGTAGAAGAGGGAAGAGGAAGTGGGAGGGGCAGGGGTCACAGGGAGCAGTGGAGCCCTGAAACTAGTCCCAGGCTCTGCCCTCCACGCTGGTCAGTCATTGAAGCAGCAGCAGCACACCCAGTGGCAAATAGGTGGTCCCCGCCTTCAGGCTGCCTGTGGGGTTGGGGGCCCTGTTACACAGTTCACCATTGCAGCAGGTGGAGTTGAACTTGTAGGTGATGTCTTGGTAGGTGACAGGCTCTACACGGCGGCTACATAAAGTGGACAGCATGCATCCTTTGTTGGTGACAGGGCCGAGACCAGGAATTATTCCTTGGCCAGTGAAGCATTGCTCATTGTCCCCACAGGTCATGAGGATGCCAGGGCAATTTGAGGATGAGTCGGTCAGATCACAGAAGATGCACATCTTGATGCCTGTCATGACTATAGGCAGAGCCATCATCAGGAGCAATAGCCACCTGAGGACCATGGTGGCCTGGTGGTGGTGGGCCTCCCAGAACTGCTGAATGACACTTCGCAAGCTCACGAGACTTCTGCCCCTGGTTCTGATCTCCCTGGGTCAGCACTTAGAGTGTCCTTGGTTCCCAATGCTCCGTGTCCCTCTCAGGAGCTTCGGGGTGACCACGGCTCCCAAGTCCCAGAGTCTGAAGCTTCCTTGGGACAGAGACAGCCAGTGGCTGCTGCCCCACAAGAGGGTTTGTGGAGCAGAATGGGGTGACCTCACAAACCCCTCAGTGTTCCACTGGTCACTCTGGGGGTGAGGTCATGGGTAGGGGAGGGGTGTCACAATCTGAAGGGCAGGTTGGCCCACTGACCTGCCAGGGATCAAGGTCATTGCCACCCAACTGAGGTAAGAACACTACACCCAACACTTGCTATCCTGGCCACTCAGGCTTAGGCTCTGCTGGGTGCTGGGTGCTGCTCCTGCCCAGTGCCCAAGGTGAGCCCATTTCTCAGATGGGCAAACCGAGGCTCAGGAGGAGAAAGCGACATGTTCAAGGCCATAGAGCCAGGATTAAACCCCAGGTTTATTTAATTCCAAAGAGGGCATTTATTGAGCACCTGCTGTGTGCAAGACCAGTGCTAGATGCAGTAAAGGCCTACTCTTGCATTGTGGTAACAGGACTCAGAAGGAAGGGGCTCACCATAGCTCCCAGGCTTCTAGCATTGGACTAGGTTCCAGGAACCATGCAGGGAGCTCTACCCATGTTCTCCTGTTGGAATCTTTCTACTTATTAGCTCTGTCTCTCAGATTAGCAAACAGGCACACAGAGCAGGCACAGCCAGAGCCTGGCACACAGCAAGTGTTTAACAAATATGGGTCATTATAGGAAGCAGCTGAGTCTCAGAGCTGTCCCCATGGGTGTCAGAAAATGAACTATGTCTCTTTCCAGAGGCAGAAACTGAGGCATCCCTCAGTAGGAACAGGCAGAGCCCCGGTTTAAACTCAGATCTGCATGCAGATGATAATTTAAGTATCTTAACATGTTGTCCTCATGGGGTAGGTACCTTGGTGGTCTGCATTCTACAGGGGGAATGTTGAGGCCAGACATTAGCAGGATTTTCTTATTTTTAAATAATTTTTATTATTGTTAACTATATTATAGATGTCCCTCCCAATCTTTCTTTTTCCTCCCCTGCTCTGAGGCCCTGCCCTATTCTACAATAGGTCTTCATCATTCTATTGTCCATGTCCATTGGTTATGCATATCTATAATAATAAAAGCATAATATGCTAATTAGACCAGATGACCTTCCGGACAAAGCCAGAGTTGTGAGGAAAGTCTTGGTCCCAAGTGCCAGAGGGAAGCCGGAGCTGGCAGCTGGGGGAAAGAAGGCATACTCTTGCACGAATTTCATGCATCCGACCTTTAGTATGTATATAAGTTTTTTGGTCAATCTCTTCTCATCTCCCAACACACACACATCCCACCCCCGAGATACATCAATCTATTCTATGCCTCTGGGCCTATTTTGTTCATCAGATTATTATGTTCATTAGATTGCACTTACAAGTGAGATCATGCGATACTTGTCTTTCCTTGATTGGCTTATTTCACTCAGCATAATATTCTTCAGGTCCATCCATGATGTTGGAAAGGGTAAGAAACCTTTCTTTTCTACAGCACAGTATTACATTGTGTAAATGTACCACAGATTTCTTTTTTTATCCATTCATCTACTGATGGGCACTTGGGCTGTTTCCAGATCTTAGCTATTATAAATAACACTGCTATGAACATAGGGGTGCATACATTCTTTCTGATGAGTGTTTCTGATTTCTTGGGATACATTCCTAGAACTGGCATCACTGGGTCAAATGGGAGTTCCATTTTTCATAATTTGAGGATCCTTCATACTGCTTTCCACATGGCTGCACCAATCTGCATTCCCACCAGCTGTGCACAAGGGTTCCCTTTTCTCCACATCCCTGCCAACACTTGTTTGTTGATTTATTTCTGATAGCCATTCTGACAGGTGGGAGTTGCTATCTCGCTGTGGTTTTATGGTGGTGGGAAGTGAGTCTTAACCCTAGTAAAGTGACCTCCAAAAGCAGCAGTTATTTTAATGTTGTACATGGGAATGTGTACATTCCACAAGCAGCTGGCACAGAAGGGTTTAACAAGGGTCCAGGCATAGCTTTACATTAGTAGTGGTTCTGCCCTAAAAACATGTCTTCCAAACATCTGTCTCAAAAATAAATGGCATGGATTAAGAGAAGCTTTCAGACCAAAGTTGTGTTAATATTTCCTACCCTCCCTTCTTTTTCAATAATCTCTGTACCTTTTAGATACATATAGTCGAGTAGGAAAGGAAATACAGTATTTTGGGTTAAGTAATCATGAAGAGATTAAAAAATACTTGAAAATATTTGCTTTGCTTGAATCTAGGCATGGAGGTGTTTGTGTGTGGCTCTGTAGGTCTTAAACTAATATTCAAAAATATTTTTTCTGAATATGGTAATCTTTATTTAATTAAATTTTAAATTAAAGGTCAGGGTATCTTTTGAAATGTATGTATTGCAAATATTTTGAAACAACACTATGTTGCTGATGTAGGGAGGGATTTCATTGCTGCTTGTGTGTGTGTGTGTGTGTGAGAGAGAGAGAGAGAGAGAGAGAGAGAGAGAGAGAGAGAGAGAGAGAGTGAGTTTGGAGTATTCTTATCTATAATAAGAAAAAATACAGAAAGAATTAGAGTTGGGTCTTAATTGAAGGAAGTCATATAGTAATTGAAGCTGAATAATTAAATTATGAGAATCCTGGAAAGCCAGTCTGTTTATTTTGGTAGGCCCTGGAGCATATATAAAGAGGATATAGTGGGGAATCAAAGCTCTGTGTTAGTGTAGTTACCCATAGTTTAAAAAAGTGATTGAAAGGGGCATTTGGTCTTGTGACCCTATCATGAAGCATCTGACCCAGAAGGAGATCATGGCCTACTACTATTCAGAATGACCCTGCAATAGAATGCTAGGTTTAGCTAGGAGTCACAAACTACTGTTCAAGTTCAAAGACAATATTTATTGAGTCTCTCCTTGCTTCAATTTCTTTAGTGCTTTTAGTAAAGATTCACTGAGTGCTCTCTTTATGCATGTCACACTTTTTGGTGCTGTGAGGACATTGCATAAAAAAGAGGATATGGCCTTCAATACTCTATGACCTAGTTATGGAGCTGAGATGTACAAAAGCTCTAGGCAACCGACTATGCTAGCAGGCTCCTCTTCTAGGGGGTCGATTATTTTTAAAAATACTCCACTGTTGAACCTCAGAGGGAAGGCAGAGGAGGGTGAGTGGGACTAGATCAACCAATGAACTTGTATGCATATAGGCATAACCTTTGGACACAGGTAATGGGGTGGTGAGGCCCTGACAGGGGGGGGGGGGTGGTTCAGGAGCTGGCTGGAGAGGTTATGGGAAGAAGAGGGAGCTATGAAACACTTTCAACATTAAAGATGAAAAAAAATACGCCAGATGGCATATTTCCTTATTTACTTAATATTTAATTTCATTTTACTATAAAATGCTTAAAACTATTCTAAAACATCCTAGAAAACAATGTTTTTAAAAATATGGCCGAAACAGGTTTGGCTCAGGGGTAGAGCGTCCATCTGAGAACTGAAAGGTACCGGGTTCGATTCCGGTCAAGGGCATGTACCTTGGTTGCGGTAGGGGGTGTGCAAGAGGTAGCTGGTCAATGTTTCTCTCTCATTGACGTTTCTAGCTCTCTATCTCTCTCCTTTCCTCTCTGTAAAAAATAAATTGAAATATATATATATATATATATACATATATATATATATATATATGTATTTCCTCACAAACTAGTCTATATACCATTCTCTAGTCAAACTTCCTGGGATGATAGAAGTGTTCTATAAGTTTTTTGTCTGATGTAGTAGCCATTAGCCACATATGGCTATGAGCATTAGAAGCGTCCCAAGTGTGACTGAAGAATTATATTTGTAATATTATTTAATTTTAATTATTTTAAATTTAACTAGCCATATTTTCTAAATGTATTATGCTCTCAGTCTAATTTCAAATTTAAAAAGTTGAACCACTTGTAACACAATACTTTGCCTGTGGCATTTTCCCAATATTCTTTGTTTAGGAAATGGCCTAATATGTATTGTTAATCATTATATGGCAGTCTAATGAACAAAGGAGACCTCATAAAATGCCTAATACACGCAGTAGTAATCCCTTTTTCTATGGAAATAAAATAATACGAATACATTTTATAGGGAAGTTTTAAAAGCGCTATTAATCAAATATAATTTCAGCAAAGCCCTTAAGGTGATTGAATTCAGGAAACGGAAAATGAAACAGCTGTTTTTATATTTTACAATACATCTGTAAAATGAGAAAAACAAGTAACTTTGTTTTATTAGTATTTGCTTTTAATTTTTCAACTAAATAATTCAATATGAAATTAAGCAGCTAAAATATAGGGCAACCTATATCAAAAGAAATAGTTTCACTGTTATATAAAGTAAGTTTTTATTGTAAAAGCACCCTTTCTCTTGCCATTCTAACTTTATCTTATTTCTAACAACTAAAAAGGCAAAGATAAAAATAGAAACCAAACAATATCTATTTGAAATATTTCTGAAAACAAATATAAGGAATCACTACTAAAATAGAAATGAGAGTCTGGAGGCTTCTAACAATTTTATCAAACAAGCTGTTCTGTGGCCTTATAAAGTGAAATCTCTTTTTAATTATTCTGTGTTGAATTAAGAAGTAAATAACCATACTCTAAAGAAGCCTGCCTCTCCCTGTCAGTTTAGCTTCTTGAAAGGAGATGCCACACAGCATCCTAAGAATTCTCAATTTGATCAATCAGGCTGTGAAACTTCCTTTTGTGCAGAGAACTGTCATTCTTAGCACAGTTAAATTTGGTTTTATGGTTTAAAAGTGCCCTATTAACTTGGTGCTTCCTGCATTTTCATTAACTGCAAACATATTT